TAGTAAAAAGATAAATGCAAGAGTTATCTTGCCCCATTGCCTGCCAATGTTAGACCTGACACTTTTGGACAATTATCTTAACAAAATAGATAATACAAACACATATGTAGTTGTAACATTTGACTGCCAATGTGTTTTCTGCCTTCCCCCATTCTATTACCTTTGGCAGTATTATAGGTATAAGACAACATTCCAGACTTCCAGGTCTGCTGACTGGAAGGGACTAGGATGGGAAGGAAGTGCTTCTTTACCAGTGGTTCTTCTGGCCTGGAAAGCACTATGGACTGGATGTCCTGCTGGAACAGGGTGGTATGTGAGAGGGTCTAGGCTTGCCTAGAACAGGCTGGCTGCAAAGACCCTACCTCCACTCTTTTGTAAACTCACAGGATTGGAACACATTATTTTAGCCTGGAGTAAATCCCTTCCTGACATCAACGAGGAATTTCCCAAAACTGGAGTACTGCCAAACGTGTGTTTTAGGAAAAAAAATGAGTCCCTTCCCTTCTTTCTCCCGCCCTGACCAAGAGCGCTTCCCACTTTACTTTCCACCCAATCCCATCATAGATCAGTCTGCCCATATTTCCTTTCTTTCTGTGCTTCTCCATGAAATGCATAATAATACATATTGCTTTAAAATGAAGACACCACAGAAAATGATAACATTGACTAAAGTGTCCATAAAACTCCAATAAAGCTTGGTCAATAAAATGCCAAAATGCCAAGACAGAAGACTGGATGAAGCTACGTGTCATTATTTGATACTGAAAGGACAAAAGCCTTAGCACTAGTCATATAGAACAAGGGAGGGCATTTCACAAACAGGGTGTCAGTTAAAGAAAAGGTCCATTTTCTGCTTCCAACTCAAAAGATCTCAGCAAGTGGGAAGAGGGACTGTATCAGAGGACCTTAAGAAATAACCAGGTTCATCTGGGAGCAGGCAGTCCTGGAGGTATTCCCGAGGCTGTGAGGCATCTTTCTAATTCTGATTCATTGGCACAATGGCATCTCAATGTCTTAGGAGCCAGTGCCCCTTACATACGCAAAGCTAGTCTGCAAGTCTGAGAATCCTTTTCTGAGTATGGCTTTGAGCCTTGATTTTTTTACATAGGCTTATATGTCTCTTCATAGGGCTCTTAAGCTGGCTGGATAGCACAGTAAGTTTGGTACTGAGCTGTGGGGTCTGTGTTTGGGAGTTCAGTTCCCCACTATGTTTCCCAGGAGAAAGGGCCAGATGGAGTAGCCTTGGGCAGGATGCACAGTGCAAGAGTGCCGCCGGACGTAGGGAGTGGAAAAACCCCTTGAAAACCCTGGAAAGGGCCACCTTTGATTGTCCATATTTATCATTGGGGCTCTCAGGGCAACTAAAGAAAAAAGAAAAAGGAGAGAGAAATAGATTTTGGAAGCTGGATTTTACTGAAAGAACAGCAAATACAGGAGCTTAAATGCAGGCTCAGTCACAAGCAACTTAAATCTAGTTGGTGTGACTGAATTCACCCAAAGTGTGAGCAAGTCTGAATGCAGATTTGTCACTGGATTTAGAGGATCTTACCAGCTTTCCCTTTTAAAACCTGTCTGTCTGCTGGAGCAATCCATGAAGATGCGAGATTTGTATAGGGTGTTCCTTTGCTTTCCTCTTTCTTCCTTATCCACTTGCTAGTGATTTAATGAGCTAGTATTTCTTCAAATATGAACTATTTCCAGCAACTGCAAAACATTAGAGGTTCTGAGCAGGACTGATGTGGATATAGCTGACTTTCCTCTTTCTGTGCCAATGTCTGCATGTCTGTTTATGGTCCTTTCTGTGGTTAACGAGAAAATGAACTTGTTTCCTAATCGGATAATGGAAGATAATCTTCTAAACTATGTTTCTAATCCCATAAAATGTAAGGTTTATAAAATCAGCAGTCCATAGAAACAGGAGCTGTCATGCTGTGTTCTAGGAAAAGTGCATTCAGATTAAGCTCTGATTTCACCCGTCAGTCTGTTGTTCCAGCAACAGATGACCAACAGTACATCAGACATTTCTCTTTTTTCTGTATAATCTGAGAGAAGTGTAAAACATCCCATAGTTCTATCTCAATATATTTAGAAAGGATAATATAGGGAAAAGATACTATTTTTTAGAAAAAGAAAAAGTCAGGTTTCTAGATCAGTCTTACTTGCATGAAAGACTTGAGTGGATCCTGTATGCCGGTACAGGATTGCAACCCTACTGCACAGTCTTTTACATGTTTGCTGAAAACTTACATCCTGTGTTCAAGTGGGGCTTCTTACTCTCAATTAATGCTTCATAAATTGTAGCTTTATTGTGCATATAGTTCCTTGACAGAAATGATAATACATTTCCCTGGCACCTTTCACTATATTTGATTTTGTTTCACTAAAATGCTAGTTTCCTAAAGCTAACCATATGGTGTACTGAACAAGAAAATGCACACAGAGAACACTGAACTCTTGAATGGGACTGATGTCACAGGTCAGGTTGCTGTGTTTCACAATGCAATACTGTGATGGTTGTGCTGGTGCAGCAGTGAAGACAATGAAACAGCCCTGAAACAGATTCCATGATTCAAGTTATCCTACAAGGGCCAAATTGGGCATTACAGAGAGCTCATCATTAAAAGAAGGGATTGCTTAAGTGCCAAAAGATAATCTGATTGTCACACCAATGACTTTTTTTTCACATTTCCCATAGTGTGGCAAATTAGTTTGTTTCATGACTAATAACTGGGGTAAAGGCAGGTGTTGCTTGCAGGTGTTGATGGCATAGACACAAACGTTTGCATGAATCATGCCTATGAAATAGTGACATGATTTTAGATTCTAATGATATGCTTTATGTAATGTGTACTTTGGCCCTCTGTCAGATATGGGCTTTGAAGAGGCTATAGGTGTGGCTGTGCTGAGCATAGTCATGTCCATGTTGACAAGAGCATCAAAATTACTAAATATGAATGCTTCTTTGAAAACATGCATATCAAGTTCTTAAGACAACCCTGTTCTACCCAGCAAACATAGTTGACATCATTATTGAACACTGTCATGGTTTCTTCCCAGTAAAGTCTTCACATCAGTGGAGCAAAAAGAGCTTGGAGCAAATAAAAGCTAGTGGTTTCCCCTTCAAAAACACAACAGTTGACTAATGCAATGGGGCTTCCACCTCCATTTTCCTTTGTAGCCTATGCAAATTGTTCCTGGGTGTTGAGATTTTTTGAGGCAGCCATGAGATATGGTACAAGGAAGGCAGGATTAGAAGGAACACCTATAAATGGAACAGTCTGTGCCAATGAATGAAAAACATGCTGTTTCAAGCACCAAGCTTTCACAGTTGATGGAACGTCAGTTTGTACTAGTGCAAGAGCTAAAATGACTAAGCTGAGGCCATTATACTTTGGGAATATCAAGAGAAGGCAAGACTCACTGGAAAAGACAGTAACACTGGAAAAAAAGTGAAGGCAATGTGAAAAGAAGGATGAGTATGAGATGAATGAGGGAAGGCGTGACCTTGAGTTAGCAAGACCTGAGGATGACTGTTAAGGACAGGATCTTTTAGAGGGTTGCCATAAAGTGGAGATGACTGGATGACACCAATAGTGCAGGTGCTTATGCAAGAATGATACTTTGTGAACACCCATTACATCTGGTTACTCATCAGCTTATTTGAAAATCAGGATAACAGCGAATCAAACCCGAAGTGTACCTCATGAGGGTTGTTACAGATGGAAACCTGTCCTTACTTACAAACTAGGCAAAATGCTTTTTTGAGGAAATATCAGCTACATTTGTAAAATATCCTTCTACTTGATTGGAATAATGGAGGATTTTGTTTTCATTTGTAAAGAATATCACAGTGTGATCTTGATCTTATAATGTTCTAAATAAAAACTCATATTCCTTTTACTCATAATTGCTTTTTGTCACTTTGAGTACAAGCATCGCTTTATACATGTTATGAAAATTGCTCTGTATTATTACCACACTTGGTTTGTGGTTAAAATGTTTAGAAACTTCTCTTTATGCTCAATTGCTGTTAGGTAGCAATTTAAACCTTCAAAGTGTCAAACATAGTTTATTCGAAAGTGCGGCTATCTTAATAGATGCTCTGTGATGATTTTGTCATAGTGGCACATCTTGGCCAGCCGTGCTGAGCTTGCAATGTGGCAGGCCTAATTTTTTTCTTTTTCTTTTTTATAGTAGAAATGTAGAAAATTAAACCTTATACTTCCAGATATGTAGCAGGTGCCCATTCCCTGATGCCTGCCCACACCTTGTTCCCCATGGGAGCAACACGTTTGTCTGTTTAACATGGAGAGATTTTAGAGTTCTTATCAATAATGCTTTAATTCTGATTTCTTTGTGTTATAAGGAAGTCCTTCTTCAAACTGACCCCCATGTGGGACATTATATATATAAGTAATCAATTGATTTTACCATCTCAAAAAGAAATGTATGAAGTAAGCTTCATTCTGAGCAAAATCCACCCCTAATCTTACTCCAGTTGCAAACAACTAGTCAGCCACAACACCTAGCTGTCCCAAGTGGGATGTAGTTCCCCATCAACATTAAAAAAACCCAAAACTTTCATTTTTTCGCATGGGCTTGATGTGTTGGATATTGATGCAGATACACATTGCCCATTTAGACGTTGGCCAATGTCCTCTCAAGCCTTGCAGGAATACCTCTTGGTGTGCTCAGCAGTAGCAAATACTGTATTGAGAGAATATCAAGTTTTTGAACCATTGAAAGAGAAATGATTCAGCTAGATTTGAATGGCTTAGTTACGTCCAATTGTGAAGTAGTGCTAAGTGGATGATGCAGTTGCTGGAACAGACCTTTGACTCGTGCTCCATCCTCCTCTTGAGCACTGCAGTTTCCTCCTTCCTCCCCTGTTTTGAGTTAAATTTTAAGTTGCACTGAACTTGGAAAAGTTCCTTTTGTTGAACTGCATGCTGGCTGGAGGATAGTTGTGATCCAGAAAAAGGAACTTCTCCAAGTATTGACTTTGCCACTGTATCTGGGCTGGAAAATCCTCACTTCTCCTATAAGAGGGGCATGTACAAAATTAGCCAGTTGTTGTAAAGCAACTTTTAATAGAGCATATGCTTGAGGGCTTTCACTTCCCCACCAAAAATATCTTTGATGAAAATGTATACCTTTGATTGCATATTTTAGAGACATAGCTCTTGTGGTAATAGAGTAAGCTTGCAATCCTATGAACACCCCAAAGGCGCTGTTAACATGGTGGGACTTATTAAGCTTGCATAGGGTTTTATTGTTAAATTGTATTCAAGCTTGTTCTAATTTTTATCATTGTCAATTGATGCACTTGAAATGTCGAGTTATGTATAGTAATCATGTTACACAAGAAGCTAAACGTATCTAAAATTATGGAGAAGATTAATAAATTTTCTGAGTCATAAATTTTTAAGGCATTTTGTCATTTGCAAAAGCCTTTTTTTTGTTCTAACAACATAAAACTTTTCTAGGAGCAACAACTGGAAACTTATCTCAATTCCGAGTCCTTTTGATCCCTCCAGGGGACCTAATTATTTTCCAAGCTGAGGCTTGCTTGAAAAGTGCAATTTTGAGATGTAGTATAGAACATATTTTGTCTGTTCATTGTCCCATATTCAGTTGTGTTCCACTTTCCTTAAAAGTATAAGGTAAAAAAAATCTGTACTAAATTTACCTAATATTTGCCATGCCTCCTTCTTCTCCTTTCATGCAACCACTCATACAAATGGTTGACAAACTGTCTAGAAAAGTGGTGCAATGCAATATTAATAACAGGGATGCTGAGAAGCCTTTGAGTCCAAGTCCCAAGTCCGAGTCCCAGGTCCCACGTCTGATGCCCTATTAAAAATAAGCTTCCTCCCCTCAGAAAAAAAGGGAGGGGTGGGTGGGTTCCAAGTTGCAAGTCGAACCTGAGTCATTGAAACGACAAAAACAAAACAAGTTGAGTCACTGGTGCGACTTAAGTCCAACTTGACAGGGAGTCCCATGACTCAAGTCCCCATTCCTGATTAATAAACATATTCTTGGTTTGTTACATCAGTGGTCCCCAATCTTGGGCCTCCAGAAGTTCTTGGACTACAACTCCCCAAAGCCTTCACCACCACCTCTGCTGGCCAGGATTTCTGGGAGTTGAAGTCCAAGAACATCCGGAGGCCCAAGGTTGGGGACCACTGTGTTACATGACATATCTTGGTTTATTTGGTATTAAGGCCTCCATGCGAAGAATATTTTCTCCTATAGAAACATAGGACTAGGCAAGACAAGGTCATGCAAGCTTTGCCAGACAGAATACATTGCCGTTAATGAATTTTACCATATAAGGATTCACCATGTTTCTATTAGGAATTGCTAGGAATTTTTAGTGCTGTGATGGAAAACTCTGCAATGGCAGCTGTCCACTGGGCAAGGCATTATAGGTACTGGAGGTTATGACTGCACAGATCCCTACTCACAGGCCCAGCCACCCATTCAGCTACATAAAAGAGCCTCGTGGCGCAGTGGTTAAAACGCTGTACTGCAGCTAAAACTGTGCTCACGACCTGGGGTTTAAATCCCAGGTAGCCGGCTCAAGGTTGACTCAGCCTTCCATCCTTCCGAGGTCGGTAAAATGAGTACCCAGCTTGCTGGGGGGGGGGCAATGTGTAGCCTGCATAATTAAAATTGTAAACCGCCCGGAGAGTGCTTGTAGCGCTATGGGGCGGTATATAAGTCCAATAAATAAATAAATAAATAAAATAAAATGGCTCTCATAAAGTAGCAAACCTGTATGCACCCTACGGCCTGCTAGTATCTGAAAAATTAGATTTATGAGTGTAGAAGCATATGTACTTTTAAAGGACAGTTAAAATGAAGCCGTTTGCCTTAATTCGGGATTTTGCATTCATTTATTTTACCACATTTAGGGGAATATTGCAATCAGTTATTGAGAATTAGTAGCTAAACATTAAGAAGAATAAACGACGGTTAATTTTGCCTTCAGAAAAATGCTTCTCTGTTTTAACAATGCCTTCTTGTTTTCCTAAAAGGGTAGCAGAGGTGAGCCGGGTCCTGCTGGTCCTCCAGGCCCACCCGGGAAAATGGTAAGCAGCCAATTGCTATTTCCATCCTGCGTCTATGTTTATGTTTCCAAACAGCTATGGCTCCTCTCATGATGTACAGCATCCTATTAGTTTATCTGAGACATTAAAGATGAAGCATGAATGGGATCATTGTTGGCTTCCCTCACCTCATCTTTTCCTTCTGCATTGATAGCTTGTTATTTTAACTCCATAGAAGTCTAAAGGGAACATACCATTTTAAGGCATTATTGTGTGGAAGATTTATACACATTATTTGTGTATTTAAGAGAACAATGTTAGCTTTTACTTATAATTTTAATTTCAAGATGACAGAATAAAGAAAAAAGCTCTCCCTGTGGGTACGTGTGTGTACATCCATGCACTCACAAATGCACATACATGCTAGCAGCAGACTGGCATTAATAACTAGTGGGCATAAATGCCTTCTTTGAAACAAGTCAAACGTCATTTGCATGGTCTCTGTTAGCAGAGCAATCTCAATATTTGCGCCATGAAAGAGCTCCCTGTTAAGAAGGAATGCTCACACCACAGGAGTAATGGATCACAGCATCCCCCCTCACCCTCGTAAAGATGCAGACATTTTAGCAGATGGATTATACTTTTAGAAACTGCTGTTTTCTGACTGGAGTAGATTATAGCAAGCTGTCAGCAACAGTTCACTATGATCTCCAGCTTAGAAAGAAGACGTACAGTTACCCCTGCTTATCGCTCCTCCTAGGAAAGATGTAAACTGCTTCACAGATCCTGGATGTCTTTCATGTCTGTCACTTTGTTTGGTCCAAAAATGGCTCTGAGTGTCTGCTATTTTTGGTTGTCTTTCCAGGGCACGGAAGGTGAAATAGGCCTCCCAGGTTTACCTGGACCTTCAGGACTACCTGGTGCTAAAGGGGACAGGGTAAGCATTGCCTTTGTTGGGAGACATTTCTTTGGTCTAAATCATCCCATGCAGGACATTTCTGGCTTCTTGAGTCACATCAAATTGTTGAAATGACTGAGGGAAAAGCTGAAAATTACCAGGAACTATTTTGTAAGGTTTTTTTTTCCTCTAGGGTCCCTGAAGCAGCATAACCAAAATATCCCCCTTCCTTAGTTTTAGTCATTTTTTTCATTTCCAATTTTCCCTGGCAACAAAATCCTCTTTATATAATCTTTGCTAAATTTTTGTAGCAATTGAAGTAACCTACAGCATAACTCTCTGTTTCCATCCATCTGCATCCTACCTAAATATCTGGCTTCCTGATCTAGTTCTCCAGTGTAACAAAAGAATCCTTTCCTCTAACTTAAATCCATCCCATCCTGCGAAATGAATCTTTCAAAACACGTGTAAATTGTTTGAACTTCAGTCCTTTGTCTTCTGTAATTAGATATGCCTTGATATCACTGGATTTATTGCTCAGATTTTTTCAGGGTTTTTTTCTACCTGGGCATTACCTTCCAAGCCCCTCCTTTGCCTGTCTACAAATAAAGTCTCTGCTTTTCACTTACTGCCTTCAACCTTCTGGAGAACAGCTGCAAAATAATAATTATATTTCTTATGACAGTTTTCATAGCTAGTTGCTGAATCAGCTGCTTTCAGGAAAATCTTAGATCTGGCACCATAATCCACTAAATCTATTCTTTCTGGCAAGGCTTTTGAACTTCAGTTGTTCCTTTTTTCCCCAAAACTCTATGCTTTGTTTGTGCTGTAGGATATTTCAAGCTTTGACAAGCACTGTTCATCATTAGGGCTTTAGTTAGCAAGGGGCTGCAAAATTATGGGGTGATTATTTCCAAGGAATTAGCAAGAGTTCTTTCCCAAGGGAAGATATACAATAGGCAAATCCTGCTATTTGCTAGTGATGGTTAGGACATTTCTGTGTAAGAGGCTTCTGTGATTTTCTTTAAATTTAAAATAAGCTATAAATCCTTTATAGTTTTGAGATGCTTATTTGGCGATAACACCTTCCCTGCATACAGAACATGAATGGAATTCATCTACCACTGAACCTGAGGCTTGGAATTCTTCTAAGTGTTAGTTCTCTTGGACATATGCTCCTGAACAAAAGGAAGGGCATAATCCTTCCCCCTCAAAACTTGCAGGGAACTGCATGGAACTCAAAGAGATCAGAAGACAGAGGGTGCTGCATGGAACTTGGCAACTGTGACCTTGTTTCCAGTCATGTTTTCTTTTTGGAACCCCCAGGACACTCCTTATTTGTAGCGCAGAAGCTGTAGCACATAAGGGCATCTTCTGTATATGGCTGAATTTATTGCTGCAATGTGCCTAGCACATCCGTGGCATGCATGAACAGGGGTAGTGATGGGGGAGGGAGATTACTAATGGATTCAGATCCAGAAGAATTCTGTAGGCCCCTTTATCTGGATGAGGAGTGTGGATTTATTAACTTTTTCATCAAGGCCTACTTCAAACATTCTTCCTTTTGAAGTAGTCACTGCCAGAGACAGAGCCCTTGTGCCAGGGATCCATGAATCTGTAGGTATTATCTGAAGCCGTGTGGGTCCGCAATATGGTGGTATTTGTCCAAGCTCTTCAGTTTTTACAATCTATCGCTGTATTGACTACGTAGAGAGCATGAACAGACCTCCAGAGTAGCAGAGACAACATGATTCTGAGGCAGGGTTAGGATCCTGGAGAGGAGGGAAAAATGCTTGAGTCTAATAGCCAGGGTTCAGTATCAAAAGCAGTAGTAATACACTAGCTAAACAGGGGAAAGCAGTCTGAAGCACTGGCCAGAACAACTGCCAGAAATACATAGGAAAGTCAGGGAAAGTCAGTACTGAGAGACAGTAACACTTCCAGGCCCCAGAGATGGATAGGCATTTGCTGGTGGATTGACTTGGAAAAGGGCACAAAGTAGATCTGTTTTGTCTTTGAGGTAGTAATGCTTTGAGGGTTCTGCATCTGAAACCAGAAATGGATGTTAGAATCTGCTGTGAGGGGAAGAGGGAGAATCTCAAGCCATGTGATTGTCTGAGTTGCACAGCATGAGCTTTATTCACCTCTAGAAATATGCATATTAGCTTCCTTTGTTCAGTGATTAGGCTTCAGGACTTAACCACGAGGTTCCTTTGATGTCTGGTTTCAAAAACATGGGAATGCTCTCTCAGTCACCCCTCAACAGCATTAGTGAGTTTTCAGCTCTGATTACTGGCTGCCTCTAACATCTGCTTCTGGCCTAAGCCTCCTTGTCGGGAGTCACAATAGTAATGGTATTAGTTTCCATGTTCTCATGGTATGTTGAATCACTGGGCTAAGTCACAGAGCATTCTATAAAACCATTATGGCTGTTCCTTTCTTTTTTAAACGCAGTGCAAACTGTACCTTTCTACCCTGTTTCTCTGAAAACAACACCTGACCTGAAAATAAGCACTAGTGTGATTTTTCAGGATGCTCGTAATATAAGCCCTACCCCAAAAATAAGCCCTAGTTAACTGAACCCCCCCTCCACCCTTGTGCAGCAACCAGAAGAAAATGACATGATTGTATTTGAATAAACGTAGATTGGTGTACATGAAAAAAATTAAGCATCCCCGGAAAAAAAGCCCTAATGTGTTTTTTGGAGCCAAAATTAATATAAGACTCTGTCTTATTTTTGGAGAAACATGGTAAAGCCTTGACTAATACAAAATACTGGATGATTTTATTTATCTCCACCGCAATTTTGTTCTTGTCTTTGTGCTTCTTTCTGCACAGCAGGTGCAGCTGTGATGGCTGTGTATAAAATTTAAGAGCAGTGAGGAGCAAAAACAAAATGATATTGTGCATATACAGTATGTGTGTATATACAGGGGGAAATGGCTTCTGAGGAAGCAGATTCTGTCTTGTGTATTAAACCTTCCCACAGAGAAAACTCTCACTGTTTCACATTAACACTCTGATTTCCAACATGTTTACTCAAAATGAAATTACACCATTTTAACCCTTTTACCGTGCAGTCTTAATTACAATTGTAATTTAAGACAACATTCACTGTTTTGATTTGGTGACATTTTCTAGGTTCAGTTAAAATCTAATCTTAAAAAGAAGAGATTAAACAGGTCACAGTAATGATCAGAAATAGCTTCCTGATCTGGCTTGTTAAGCTAGATCTTGTATGGTTGCAAGTCTTGCCTTGAAGAACAGCAGGACAGAAACACAAGAGAAGAGGCTTATGTCAGCCTCATGATTGAGATGTGATGGAAAATTTCACCCACTAAACTTCATGTTAGCTGTGCAACTCTGCTGAAGCTCTGAAAGAAGAAAGATGATGCTCACACATACCAGGTTCCATTAGAGGTGCCATGAATGACCCAATCCAGATGGCAAAAGTAAATGGTCTAGTGAAAAGACCCCAGAACAGTGGAGCAAAGTATAACATATGGTGGTGGTTCCCAACCATGGGTAACCAAAGTGTTTTTGGACTGCTATTCCCAGAAGCCTTCACCACCAGCTGTGTTGGCATGGGTTTCTAGGAGTTGTAGTCCAAGAACAAGGGGTTGCTCATGGTTGGGAACCATTGAAATATGGAAATTTTGTGTGCCTCTATGTCAGTGTTCCCTCTGATTTTCCACCGAGCAGAAACCCTGCCCTGTGCATGCAAAGTTCCAGCTGCTAATGGAATCAAATGAGCAACCACACTAACTGCGGTTCCAAGGCAGCAATATGGCATTGCGCAGCTGTGCAGCTTAGACGGAAAATTGATCTGTGTGTAGTGGAGTGTGTTAGATGCTGAACAGTGTTGACATGAAGACAGAACCATAGAAGGTAAAATTAAAAGTGAGTGTTAACATTTGCATTGACAGGGTGAGAAAAACTAATTGATACTGAAGATCTAATCAATTTACTCTTTGGGCAATCTGGAATAACTGACTGTATTTAGTCCTCTTCTCAAAATTTGGAAGAACCTTTGAGGTGTCCTCACTTTTCAGCCTGGAAGGCAAGTGAGTTTTTGGCAGGAAGCTGGCTGACTTCCAAGTTTTGCAGCTATCGTACAGGAAACCATGCCTCCGATCTCTGTCTCGGAAAAAGGTTTTTCACCAACTTAGAGGGCTGCAGTGGAGTGAGGGGCAAGACAGATTTCTTTACAGTAATAATAATAATAAATATTTATTATGGTCATTGACCAGCAGAATTACAGTAATACCACTTACTGCCAATGGTTTGTGCTCAGATGGATTGTATGGCATGATGATAGCTGTGAGAATTGAAATATCTATCTGTTGTTGTGAAGAGAAGAGGTAAACAACAACAGCAGTAGGAGTATTAAAGCTGTGTAGAGTTCTGTCTCAGTAGCAATTGAGCAATTAAGATTTTTCTGACTGAAACATGGGAGTTCCTCAAGTTTGCGGCATTTCTCCATTGCTCTCTCAGTAACCCTCCTCTGTACTTGCTTTCTTTCTTTCTTGCCAAAAATTGTTTCACATGTTTATTTTTCTTTAGCGGTGTCTTTTCAGACTGAGTGGCAGTTTTTCTAAATAAGGACCAAAACCTGGTTGCCATGTGGCCTTTTCATGGCTAGTCAAGATAATAAAATCACATCGTTTTGGATTACCATGTTGCCACAATAATCACTATTTATTTATTCCCTTCACTGTGGTTTAAAGACAATGTCTCACTCACTTTCTAAATGCATCCTTACAGATTAATTGTTTACACCAGCATTAGTGCTGAGGCCCATATTTAAGAATCTCTACACAAATATTTGTTTGATTTTTAAAGAAAATATATATTTTTTTCATTTGCACCTAGGGTTCAGTTGGTGAACCAGGGCCTAAAGGAGAACAGGTGAGTTCATGTATACACACTGTGTTTTAGGTTCTCACCACTTTCAAAGGTATGAAAAAGTCATGATATCTACTTATATGTGTTTTTGTTACCATACAGGGAGCTGCTGGTGGAGAGGGAGAGTCTGGACAAAAAGGCGACCTTGTAAGATGGACGTTTATCTTTATTCTGTTTTCTCTGATTGAGAGGTTTCTTGTTGTGCAAACAAACAGATTGTGAAAGTAGTTGGTGAAGAGTGGAGGGTACATTTAGGATGACAGAATGGGAGACATGCCATATCAGGGACTGCGAAGAACAATCAGCAATATAGCAGTCTCATACCAGAGATGGGATGAGCATGTCACAAAGTTTCCTTTTAGATTTTCAGAGTCCCATCACGCTGATGCTCCCCTGCATCAGTAAGGTTTCCCAGCCTCCCACAGAAATGAGCGACCAGTCTCATTTCCTCATTCCCCGCCCCATTTTAGTCCGTTCAGGAACCACAGGTTCCATGTAGCTTAATGCCCTTTCTTGAAACTTCTAAGAAATCCAACAAGATCTAGCTGTGAGGAGAAGAAGAGAATTCCCCTCTCAAGTTCTCCCCAAGAGCAAGAAGTTGCAAATTTCCTGTCCCTGCTCTCTTTTTAGCAGCAGATGTTTGATGAGTGGGACTAATGGTTTCAAAGCTTGTAATACACAGATCAGGATTTGCTGACTCAATTGATTTGTTGGCTGGCAAGAACATATTCTTTCTGGCAGTTAGCAAGGAGGGAAGCTCCAAGAAGCCTTCCTGTGCTCTTGTAAATCAATGCATTAGCCATGCTTGCTGTGCAGGAGACCCGTGGCAACTTCTATAGCCTTCACGGCCTTTCCCTTTTGTGGTGGGTGACAAGAAATGTTCCAGAAATGTTTACAGGCAGTTCATGTGACTACAATTGTCCTCTGATTTTTGTGGTGATAAATACTGTGATTGCGATGTCATGGTGCCTCTGAAATCCGACTCCCACATTCATAATCTCCCAATATTTCATATTGGCTTCCTTCTTAAAAAATTGTACCCTGACATACTGCTGCAGGACTGCACCACTTATATCAGTGCAAAAACTTTACATTACGTAGAGCATTGCTTTATTCATTTATTGGGGAAGTTTTTGCCTGAAATCCTGTTGCTTACTGTAGTAGGTTGCAACCAGAGCGTGCCCACTGAATCAATGGGACTTATGAAGGAGCTGACTTACCAAATCCCCACTGATTCAGTGGGCCGACTCTGGTTGTGATTTTGCTACAGGGTTTCAGCCAATATTTCTGTATCAGGATATACTGTGCATTGTGTCCATTATGATTTGCTACTGCTTGAAGCCACAAATGCTGCAAAGTAGAGATGGGCATGAACCCTCAGTGGCCTGGCTTCCCTGCCACGCCTGCTCCAGGGGCTGCCTCTGAGTGGACGCCCACTGGAGAGGTGGGGCTTTGACATGCTGAGCATCTGTTCAGCCGCTAAGCAAACCACAATGAACCACCAAACCAGTGATTCGTGCCCATCTCTAGTGCAAACAGAACACACAACAAATCATGGTTTGGCTTACCCGTTTCTGTGTTGTTTCATTCTTACTTTTTAAAAATCGGGTGTTTTTGATAAAAGGGGCCTCCTTTTTCAAGGCAAACAGCTGGGGGAAATGAGCTATGGTTTAAAGAAAATGGAGTCTGTTAAGGCAGCAGTGAACCTTGGGTTCAGCCTGTGGTTTTTAGCTATTGACCAACCACATCTTGTTAGCAGATGCAAGGATGCATGTCATAGGCCAGATTTAAACAGACAACACTTTGGTGTGATGTGCAGGCACCATTAATATGACTGCAAGAATGCTCTGGAGGCAATTCTTGAGGTGGCATATGAATGTTTTACTATAGAGAGCTTTCAGAGATGCCCCTCACGAAGAAAAAAACGGACATTTCTGACTTTATGCTTTAAAACATTTTACTCGGGTTATGCATCAGTGACTGTGAATTTTCATTCTTTTACATAGTTTCTTTAAGCCTTTTTCCTTAAGTATATAAGGAAGTCTCCTTTCCCCTAATAGCAGCATAATCTATAAACATTTGGAGAATAATATGAAATCCATTATATTTAAAGCTGCACATGCATGCACCATCCTGACACAATTCATCTTGTTTTGTTAGGGTGACATGGGTTTGCCAGGCCCTAAAGGATCCGTAAGTATGATGAACTGCATTGTTACAGAAAATCAAAAGCTTAATAAATCAGTGAAATGTTTCAGACCAAGAAGGCGGGGTGTTTGGCTTCACAAATGGAGCTGAAACATTTAGTTCCCCAAGCAAGAAAGTTACGACAAATGTGATCCATCATTCATTGTTTTTATGTTGAAGCTATGGATTACTAGAGGGTATCTCTCTGACAAATGTTATCTCCTTATGTTTAGAGAATGGAAGCTTAATGCATATGGGTGAAGAGAGAACTAAATTAATGAGTCAGCATGTGAAGGGGGGGTATGGCAGTGAACTGTGAACTGAATTCTTATAAAGGTTGTAGGTAAAGCTGAGCATCTTCTACATACCCCACACAACATCATCTCTGAGACTGCTATTCTCTACACACTTACTGAGAATATATCCCAATGAACTCAGTGACTCATCTGGGTAGACAAGTGTAGTACTGCACTGTACACTAATGCAGAACTGGAACCACTTAGGGCAATGGTTCCCATCCTTGGGTGATGCAGGTGTTCTTGGACTGTGATCCCCAGAAAACCCATCCAACACAGCTAGTGGTGGAGCTGTCTTGGAATTGTGGTCCAGACTTGGGTTACCCATGGTTGGGAATCATGGACTTAGGGTGAATTTTAGGTTACTTCACAGGAACAGGAAGCAGACCAATCTTTTCACTTTACACAAAAGTAAATGTGGGGAATCTGTTTCAGATTAGGGCCACAGCATGCCAGGTAAGAGTTTGCCTTCAAGTGTGGTGTTGAGCCACATGGAATTTGCATAGCTGATATTTATCAAATTGTTTCAATATATCAGCTTATAGTAATTCAGATTGCAGGCATGATTGGCAGGAGGGAGAGAAAAATGGTTTGGGAAAGCAAGGGAAGAATTAAGCCCCCATATCTCTCGTATTTCAGTCCTAGTCCAGCTAAAGTCCCCTGCACTTGCTTATAAATAAGGAAATTTAAAAAAAAGAAACCAGAGCTGCTAGCTACATAGCTAAAGTAATGTGCAATTTTATTCATTCTCTTTTCTTCAAAATATTACAGCCAGTTCCATAGTTTTCAAATGTGCAGAGATATGGGTTGGCAGTGGCTGCATTTCATATCTCAGTTACATCTGAAGTGGCAAAGCATGGTTAGTACCTTCTAAACAAACTAGGATATGAAATGATGGGCAGAAGTTAACATAAGAGCTATGGTTGCTTAGAAGCCATTAATTCTGGTTTCCTTGTTCAGATGCAAAGGGAAGCAACCAAGTCGCTAGTTTGTTCTCTTGCTTTTGTGGCAGAAGTGCAAGCTGCTTTCATCACCATGTGTGAGCAAGATAAAGCTTGTCCATATCTTGTATTAAGCTCAGATACAACATGGCCTAAATGTGCTTCATTTAGCTTGGAAAGGGAAAGGGGATTAGCTATAGTTTTCTGTGGACGATAAAGATGAGAAGGTCCAAATGAAAAGAAAAAAGACTGGGCAGCTGTATAAAGCAAATATAAGCAAGGTAGATTCAATGGTTCTGCTTATTTTGGTTAGTAAGCTGGCTTCCTAATGAACATTTCAGGTTATAGACAACGTGTTTTGAACCACTGATTGGTGAATTTACCTTCATATGTTTTCTCCCAACTGAGCCTGCTGTGTACTGTGTGCTGAATGCTGTATTTCTCCTCTCTTCCCACATGCGCATTTGTTTATTGCCACATGTATTTCTGACCTACGTTCTTTTGTTTTATGTACCTGAGTCACACTGCGTCCGAGAATACCACCCCATTTTCAGTAAGGGTAGAAGGTCTCACCTGCATCACACGTGTGCATCAAGTTCAGCAGGGAGTCCAGAGTGTGAACTAGGACTCATGTCATGTTGCCCTATTAATGAAATAAAGTGTGGCTTAGTATAAAAAGGGTCAGCTGCTGAAGGCTACATCAGCAACACAGTGTCCAGTAATTCACCAAAATTGGCTGTTTCTGAACAATTGAATCTATTTCAGAAAAGAAATCTCTTTCAGAGACTGAATAACTTTATGAGTAACTTTATGTCACACTGACTCCGCTGCCTCCAAAAAACACCAACCTCCCCAATCCTCAAAAAGTTAAAACAGAAAAACAAAAGAAACTGGAAAGATATTTTTGGTTAATCATCAGCTGCAGATACAATTCCCTTCGCGGATGAATAGTTCTTCATAACAAATCCTGTTTGTTTTTTTTAAAGCATGAGACACATTTATCTGACTAAACAGAAGGAGACGTCTTTGAAACCATCTCTTTCTCTGACACATGCAAAGCAGGCTAGTTGGGTGATAGAGCTCAAAATGCAAATATGGCCAGTTAGAAATGATGTTTTATATTCATCATGCTACTGTGAGAATATCACTCAAGCACTCCCATCAGAGCACTGCCCACATACTCGAAAGCATGTTGCATGGAGTCTTTGCTTGCTTCTCTCTCTCTTGAAGCTTAAATCCTAAGAGGGTTGGACTCAGGAGCTACTATCTCAGAGGAATTATGGCCATCAACAAAGCTGTACATGCCAGCAGGGACCAGATGAGTATTGCCATCTGTTTGTGGGTCAGTTCCACATTCATATCTCCATTGCAATATTACGTCAAATGTATCCCTAGGACCATTCTGTTGAACCCAGTGTTTTTCTTGACTTCCTTGTTCTGTCTAAAAGGACATGGGGGTATCTTTCATGCTTTCTTCTGTTACTTGTTTTCTATCTTCCTAGCTCCTGCTCAAAGTATCCTGTTTCTACGTAACATTGAAATTTATGCACACAGCCGATTATCAAAAATTAATCTCATGAAAATAAACTCCATAGCTATGATTTACACTTGCATTTGTGTAGAAATGTTAATTGAAATGAGTGGAGGTTGAGGGTTCAGCTTCACCCTAGTACAATAGACCCCCTTATCCACAGGATCAGTATCTGCTGATTTATTTATCCGTGGTCTGAAAATAACCAGAACTGGCCACTAGAGGGAGTCAGAGACCATGCTGTGTATAGCATTTGATATTAAAATAGTATTCTGCATTTTTTCAGCATCTGTGGGGGGCGGGGCTTGGAACTAATCCCCGGCAGATACGAGGGGCCTACTGTACAGCTATTTGTTTTGCAGATATCATTGGCTGTTCTGGTAAGCAAAACCTCTGCTACCAGGTCAGTAAATCTCAACTGTAGATTGGCCCCAAACAAGACAGTTTTGCTGAGCAGTGAACTCTGCCAACCCCCTCCTACTGTACTTCTGACTTTCCTACCAAAATCTTTTTAATTTAAAACGTTAACCACTAAAAGGCATGAGCAGGGCTTTTCTGAAAACAACAACAACTGCTCAGTTTTGTTGAAAAAATTGTTGGGGAGTGAGGATTGTGGAAGTGGAAGCAATTTGGCAGGCGACTAGGGATTGTCCCGTCTCAGAACACAAATGCTACCGTTTTTAAAAAATGATTAGGTGAATATGATGCTTTGCCGTGCTTCCCGTGCTCTACGAGGAAGCACAGAAAAGAGTGTAGAAAAGGAGTCTTTATATGACCTATATATACTGACAGAATCTCATATAATATAGGAAACTCCTATCCATAAAAAGAGGAATACTGTAGTGTACTGGGAAGTTTTGCAGATCAGACTTCACTCTCTTTTCAACTTCTAAGTTTTCGTTCAATAATTCCTTGTGACAGTTTTACCATTTAAAACATGTAATATCTATATATTTCCAGGCAGGAAAAGTGCTTCAATTAGTAACATTGTCCCCATAGTTTTCTGTTGTAATTATATTTCCCACAGTGTTTCCAAGGCAGCTGTTTTGAGGTTCTTGTATTGGCAGTTTCTAACTTATCCAATATCTCTCTCCTCTGTGGTCATATTTATGGAATATAAAAACGGGACACTTAAAAGCTCTCGTAGTTTATGGCCTTGCTGGTAGTTAAGCTGTTTTTAAATATTTAATATAGTCATTGGATTTGTGCACAAGCGAAAGTTTTAAATTGCTTGAGGGATTCACACAGCTTAAGTGATGTATCACTGCAGAGGTACCTGTGGGGACAGGAGAAATGAAGGGCCCCTTGCCAGGAAGCAGCCTCTTCCTGATCTGTTTACTTACAGAAATGCATAAACACAGTTCCCCTAGAAAAGAACCCAGTTCCCCTCAAGGAAATCTGTCGCCCTTCACAAGTCTTTGGAAATATTACACCCCTGTCCCAGGAGGATTGAAAGCCACTGTATATTGCTTTATAATCAGAATGCTGGTCCATCAAGGAATGCTGATCCTTATAGTCGTTGTAATTAGCCCAATAACGGTCTGCTAATTCTCACTGGCAGTGAGATCTCGGGAATTCATGGCCGGGTTCTCTCCTAGCCCTGCCTGGAGCTTTCATTTTTCCTGGTGGAATCCCATCTAAGCAGTGTCTGGGCCTGACCCCGTGTAGCTTCTGAAATCAGAGGAGAGCAAATGCCTCTTTTCCCATAGGTGTTGTAGTCAGGGTGTGAGATCAGAACCTACTGGGTTCATGCTAGGAAAAGGCATATAAGCATGTTCAGGCTGCCACCCTACACCCTGTTACCTAAGATTACACTCCCAAGCAGTTGAAGTGGCAAGCATCTGTGGGTCCAGAGGTTAAATCGGCCTCACAGTGGGCTGTACCCCATCCTGAATGGGGCTGTAAGTCTCCAGAAATTCATATCCAGGATTCATTTTTAATAAAACATACAAAGACCTTGCCATACATATTAAAGCAAGGCCCTATGCCTTGTTCTGGAGAGAAGGCTTTTGGGAATGGCAATCCTTATTTTTTATTTCTTATTAAAAATGTCTGTGCATGTGTGCGTGCATGCATGTAGAGCATTAGGAAGAGGGGAACTACATCGCAGGCCATGTGATTCCCACTTTTAGTGCATCAGGTTGCAGCATTACAGTATTTAGTAGAGCATTAGGAAGAGGGGAACTACATCACAGGCCATGTGATTCCCACTTCTAGTGTATCAGGTTGCAGCGTTATTTGCAGAACAGCCTTTCCATTTACCGATTGCCATGTTATTATTGAGCAAGGTACGAATCAGTAAATGTCAAATCCCAATTCTCTATAGCGAATTCCCTATAGATGATGTGAAAACTAGCAGATTGTGTATGCAGCAGACTCTTGTAGTGGGATACCTGGCACAGTGTGTGAAAGTGCCTTTTTTTGTTGCGACAACAACAAAGTAATTTTTTTTGTTGCAACAACAACAACAACAAAGTAACAGGCTTCTTTTGTGCCATTTTTAGGTTGGGAACCCTGGCGAACCTGGCCCACGTGGACCTGAAGGAAGTCGTGGTTTGCCTGGTATGGAAGGGTTGCGGGGTCCACCCGGGCCACGTGGCTTGCAAGGTCAACAAGGTGCTCCGGGTCTGCCCGGTAGCCAGGGTCCGGCTGTAAGTTATGGTTCTTTTGTATCATGACAAGGTTTAGGACTTCACTATAAATAAATGGAAACATGGGCAGAAAGGCTCCTTTCCTGCTCTTTGTGCTACTATTATGGGCATTTGGCCACTAAGCTAGATACCATTCTCGTTGAGTGAGATACTCCCATCTTTTGCTTGTGGATCTTCCTGTAGCAGAGAGCCTGCCCCCAGAGCCTACTGCTTCCCATGCAAAGGGCTGTTGGCAAGTCTTCTCTCAGCCAGGTTTTGAAACCATTGCACAGGGACGGATGAGGCTGCTGGCTATGTTACGACCAGACCAGAGATAGGTCGTAGTGCTTATCAGAGGTTTATGCTGGCCATACAGCCCTTTGGTGTGATCTCATCAGATGCTGAAGTGCCAGTGTTTGCCATGTCCATCCAAATGAACAATAATGATTTCAGAAGAGGTAGCGGAGGACAATTTTAAAAGCCAGGCTCATCAAAGGTGGCATGTGTAATTATTTAGGGACTGGGTGGGTATTGAAAGGGAATTCTTTGTTCATGTCGCTTGATAAATAAATTGATCATTTATTTTTGTTTTGTTTTAAATCCCAAGTGTACTTTTTGGATGCCTTAACCAAAGCTGGAAGTCTGGTGGTTTCTGTCTTGAATTATTACAGACATGAATTCACACGACCCGTGAGAGTATCACAGATCATGGGGCCAGCAGGGTTATTGGCATTCTGGTATTTTTGAATGCTAGACATACTCATAACAACAAAAGGACAGGGTTTTTATTCTGGATCTTACATAATCAAAGGAATGTAAGATGGCAACCTTGGTGCTGTTTTCTCTGTCTTTACAAATCTCTTCACATGGCAATGCAGAATTCTGGCATTTTGGTCTTACTTGTTGTAACCGTTAGTTGAAATGCAGTTGATGATTTCCACGTAACTCTGTTCATACATCCAGTAAACATTACTGTGCATTATTTTATGTACTGTTTACACATTTCCCCACCTTTCTATACCATAGCTTTAAAACAGCTTTGAAGTATCAAAGGAATTTGCATTATCAAACAGCTTAAGGGTGATCTAGAAATACAACCAATAGAAATAAAATTGCATTTTCAACCCATCTAAATGCAAAAATAACATGACAGGCAGACTTCCTTTGGGAGGCTCTTAGACCCTTCCGTCTGTACATTGTTTGTTTGTTTTTGAAATACTGAGCTAGGAAAGTCAGAGAAGGTATCTTCAAGTTTGCACAGCTGACCATGTGAATACCTGCTCTTCTTCCACTCCCTTTTTTTCTGTATTCCCGTTGTTCCATAATAACTCCATAATAATTGGAGTGTCTGAATTAGCAAGTGGTTTTCAGCTGAAGGGTTATACATTTTGTAACCCAACATGTTCTTATCTACCTTATCTCTATAATGTCACTAAATGTTGACCCCACTGTTTAAATAACATGTTTATTTCAGGGCAGAGAGCCAACTGATGCGCACATTAAGCAGGTCTGCATGAGGGTCATGCAAGGTAAATAAAAAATATATCTATTTATGTTTTCACTTAGAAAACAAAGGAACAGCTAAGCACCAATTTTCACAGGGTCAGCTTGAGGGCTGCAAACTAGCTTGCACTTAGAAAGTGAATTGTGCATGTGCTGTCTACTTTTTAAAGTTACATTTTTTAAAAGAACGGTTTATTTTTAAAGCTAAACTACGGAAATGACAAACTTGGAGAATTCTTTGTCACACTTAGTCAAAGACAGATTCTAAACAGTAGATCAATAACTGATTTTCACAGGGATCAAACTCTTGGGAATACAGTTTTAACCCATCCCCCAGCTGCAGGACTGCAGCATATGAGGCGACCTGGCTTCACTGAGATATTTCCTGTGCCAGGGAAGCTTTTTGGCCACCTCTACAACCATTGAGGCATCTAGTTAAGGATAGTGTTATCTTTTACTTCAGGAGCTGGGAAGCAACTTCTGTTTCTGTTGTCAGCCTTAGAGATGGGGACGACTCACCATTTTGGCAAGTTGTCGTGTTTCATGGGTCGTCAAAAATTGATGACTCACAAAGCACAAAGCTGCCCCCATGAACCTACGGAGCACGAATTTTTCGCCGATTCATGAGGGGGTTTACTTAAAAAAAAACCTGCCTCCCCACTGCCCCACCGCCACCCCCACTGATGCCCCCACCATAATTGCCGCCACCGTCACCATCGCCAGCTGGCTTCCACAGCCATGGCCTGTAGAAAGGGATTAGTTTTAACTTCAGCAAGATTTCCATTTCTATAAAAGGAAAGACTGTAACTGATGGAGAGACCACATGCTTTGCATGTGGAAGGTTGCTGGTTCAGTTTGAAGCATTTTCTGAGAAAGACTGCGGTACGAAAACCTGGAGCCTCGGCTATTCAGTGTGAATAATACAGAGTTAGATGGACCAAGGATCTGACTTGTTTAAAGCAGCTTTTTGTGCTTTTAAGGAAAGGTGAGGGGCTTGAATGGTGAGGCTTTTATAAGGCTATTTGTACTGTATTTCATTGTGAAATGAGGAATGAAACACTTGAAGGGTATCACTCAGGCCACCTAAACTTGTGGAGGAAGAAGGAAAGTGTATTGGAACCATTAGTAGTGGTTTCCACAGATCATGGCAAAATGTGCATCTCTTGACAAATACTAGTGTTCGCGAACATTACATTCTCACAGAACTTTTCAAATAGTTCATAGAAACAAATTACTGTAGGGAAAATTCTGTTCTCTTGATGCTGTCCACTTGAATAATGCACCCTTTTTACTTGAGCATCTCTTACAAATACGTACCTACCGTTCCCATCATTTCTGCCATGGAAATGTTTTGCCCACAGTATCTAGGGAATCTGCAGGTGGTGGCAACATTTCTGTGAAGTCCACTGGGCTTTTTCAGAATCATCAGAACATCCCTTTTAATTTTGTTAAAGGAAATGAGTGCTTAGAGAGCCTTGTTGTGCAGTGGTTAAACTGCAGTACTGCAGCCAAGACCCTGCTCATGGCCTATGGGCTCAAGTAGCTGGCTCGAGATGGACTCAAACTTCCATCCTTCTGAGGTCAGTAAATTGAGTACCTAGCTCACTGGGGGAGGGGCAATGTGTAGCCTGCATAACTGAATTGTAAACTTTAAACACTATAGGGTAGTTAGTGTATAAGCAGCACTCTTTGCTTGGTTTGACTTAGTCCTCCTGATTGTACAAACAGGCTGGAAAACACACTGATCATTTTTGGAGGACATGAAACAATTAGCTGTTTTGTAATGAAATGAACCTGTACAATACTATAGAAGACCTTTGTGCTTTCTTCTTTCTTCCTATTTAACAGAACAACTGGCTCAGCTGGCCGCCAGCCTTCGGAGGCCTGAATTTGGTGCCCCAGGCCTCCCAGGCCGTCCTGGACCACCTGGTCTTCCTGGATCTCCTGGCGAAAATGGTTTCCCAGGCCAGGTTGGATCTCGGGGGCTACCTGGCCTTAAAGGCCCTCCTGGTACCATTGGGCTGAAAGGCCCCAAAGGTAAGACATTCAGGCTGAACCTCAGGTATTTTTTACTTTGGAATAAGTCCCATGTAGCTGTTTTTGAGTAGAGTTCCATCAGATTATACAATAGACTTTTAGGCTTGTATATGTGTGTTTCAGTTGTTCAGTACGTTCTTTATAAGACGTCCATTGAAAATATATATGAAGTACGTATCCTGAATCTAGCACTAAATTCTAACAAGTAGCTTCAGCTTTGTGTATTTTTCTGACTTACAAGCTAATATGGGCAATAACTTTTCCTTCTCAATTGGGTTCAAAAAGAAGAGTACAAGTAAACCTCTTTCATTTTTTAAAGTCATCTCAGTATATAGCACAGCATCCATCATCTAGAGTTCTCCGAATATTCTAGTATCTTAGTTTCTGTGGGGTTTCCCTAATTTCTCAAGAAGTGGAAAAAATAATCACCAGATTCTTCATTTTAATCAATTTAGACCATCTTGACATGATGAGACGGCTTAACAAAGAATTTTAAAGCCCCACAAGATTCTTCGTCTGTGGCCAAGAGCGAGAAAGGAAGGTTTCTTTCTCTCCCTCAGAATCTCTATCTCTAGTCTGGAGTGTTCCTTCTCCTTAATAAGCAAAGCATGCACACATAAATAGGGCAGGCACAGAAGTGAAGGTGGCAAAGAGAGATGCAGAAGGCCCATCTAATGGTTTAAATTCTGAAATAAATAATCAGTCATCCTTGTTTGCGGCAATTTACACTATTTGTGCAATTACACAGAGTTGCATGAAATAGGCAAATGCTGTGCAAAATGAGTGAATCTTTTTTGCACATACAGTAGCATTGTTTGTGACAATCCAAAAAGTCTGTCATGAATGTCAGGAAATTTCTTGCCAACTAAGAGAAGAATGTTGCAGTTCCTTGTCCTTGTGCAAGGAAGTTATTTCCTGATTTCTCATGCTGTGACTGTATTCGTGAAGTTTGTCTTAGCTTTCTTATAGGGTTTGTGTTTTGTGTTTTTCTTTCTTGAGCAGTTCTATTCTACCTTTCTTTGCTTTAATCATATCAGAACATAATTTAAAATGATGGACATAGTATATGAAATATAGGTAAAATCAAAAATAAAATATTAAGATAATTACACTATTTTTGACCAGAAGCAGGCTACTTCAATAGTGTTAACTTGGCCATTTGCTAGATCTTCTTTCATACATGTGGGGCAGAAATTGCATGCATGTAAGTGCTGCATTGATTGAATTTCTCCACAGTCACGGAAAATTTATCCAGTGTCCATGTAGTCTCATTTTACTTGATTATTCTTTGATCTTCTTATTTCACTTCAAAGTCTGTTAAGTGACTTCCAGATGGTTCAGGTGGAGTCTTGTCCTGGTGGGAGACACTCTTCAGTATTCATCAATTTGGCAGTTTTTGCTTTCCATAGGTTTAGCTTAGACTCTTCTAGTTTAATATTCAGAGCTTGAAAGCTATGCTGAAAACTTTTCCTTGATTTTAACTTTGGGATTTGTGTTCATGAACTGAATGGGTTTGGTGCTGTATTACCTTATTTTGTTTACTATGTGGTAGCTCCTCTCAACATACTTCTGGAGCGGCATGGTCAACCAAATAACAGTCTTTTCAATGGGGATAGGTTTCAGATACCCAGTAATAATTCTGCAGAATTCAGTTCCATTTGTTTGGCATGTGCTGATTTATACTATGTGGCACTAGCATATTCTGCTGTGGAGTAGCACAGGGACAAAGCTGTTGTTTTTATTGTTTGTGTATGTGTACTCAATCTGACCCAGCCAGTTTCCTAAGTATGTTATTTCTGGCAGCAACTTTCTGTTTGGTGTTTAGACAATCTTTTTGTAGGTCAGGCTTTGATTCAGGGTGATGTCCAAATACTTTGGGATAGGGCAATGTTCCAAAATTTTGCATTCCCAGCTAACATGGAGTTTCTTCTCTGCTCCTCTGTTCTTTAAGTAAAAGGCATAGACCTGTGTTTTTTTTTAAAAGCTTGGTTTCAGCTGGTTGTTTTTATAATTTAAGGAATGATTTTTCTAATGCAGAGGTTAGCTAGTACTTCATAACTTCAAAAGTTTACTCTTGGACTCTCATGGCAAGAACATAATTGGAGCAGCATTTGTACATACTGGCCAAATCCTATTGTGTAGTTATGCCTGCACAAGGCAAAGAGTGTAAATATTGAGACTTCTCATTAGCAGTTAACCAGTCTTCACTTCGATTTTCAGGTACACGCCAACACATTAGAGTAGCATGCACCCTAAATCATAAGCAAGCTAAAAGACAAATGCAGATTGAAGCAAGCTCATGTTAGATAGACAGTCTTTTTCTCTTAAGGATGCAATACTTCAACATATGGAATTCGTATTACATCTAATAACCTCTGCAGCAGAACTATATCCTTCTCCTTGTTATGTTTCATAACACATCCCATTCTCTTTATTCAGTATTTCTCCTCCTCCCCCAGCATCCTTGCATATCTTTTCCAACCAGACTGGAGCTCAGTTTCCCATTGAATATAAAGGCTGCCATGCAAAAGATCATGTTAACTACCATTATGGTTTTAGGCTATATGGGGTGGGTGGAGCGTCACTATCTGTGCACCTCAACAAGAATTGATTGCTTGCATTGTCTGCCAAGCACTAGTTTCAGTAGAGAGGTTGGTTACCACTGGTGGTAAAATGAGCAGCGTCCCTTGTGGCAGGATTCAGACTAGCAACACAAATGTGCTACGAGGTGGTGGGCAGTGGCTGGTCCTCCAGATGTGATCAATGTACAGTCTGCCTGCTGTCATTCCTGATAGCAGATAACATCTGGAGAGCCATGTATTCCCTTCTGGCATAGGGTAAACGGGATAGGAAATCAAACTTTTCAATATTACTATTACATTGGAGGTCTGCCACTGATTTGACTGTCTCATTTTTATTCCCTTTTGATCTATCAATAAGGGAAGGAAATAATGACATATTTTTTTAAAAAAATGTTTTTTTGCCTTTCAAAAATATGATAAAATGCCAAAAATAAATGAAAGCGAAATCAAATTACTGCTGGCAAAGGGGTTTCATTTCAAAGCCATATTTTATTTTTGATTGCAACAACAAGCTTTCATACTTACAAGTTGATGCGAAATGCTTGATGGCAATATGACATGCAAGATTTTCCTTAGCTGTTTACCTTGTTTTGGCCATAAGTATGGTTCATAAGCTGCCTTGGGCTGGGATCTGGGATTTTTCTTTTGTAAAGTAAAGACAAAGTCTTCCATGCCCTTAGGGGAAGAGAAAAACCACTTTTTCCTATGCCCTGGTGGGATCACAGTTAGAGGGTGGAAGATTGGTGTCCACATGAGAGGGAAATTAATATGTTTGCTTCAAGGCTGCATAATTTTGCAACTGATTTATGTTTGTGTTAAGGATGTGAATTTTGCAGCTTCTTTCTCAAAGAGCAAGTGAAGTTGGAAAAGCACTTTTCTCTTCACAGTGAGATTTCTCAGCACAAGATTGTTATTATTTTCAGAGAAATCACACAGGAAATTTTCTGGGATTTTAAAAGACATTTCATGTTCATTCATTTTCCTGGAAGAAATGGCAAGCTGTGCAGAATTGTTACAATTCCTGTGCAGAATGGCTTCTTTCTTGCGTGGGATTCACCTGGAAAGGACATTAAGGTATAGAGAATGTGATGGTTTCCTGTGCAGAACAATATGTGAAAAATAAAACACAGAGCGAAATGGAGGAGAGTGAGTCTCATGTTTGCAGGAAGCTAGACTTCTTGCTGACGTAGGAGGAGGTCTCATCAAGGAGCCTTGGCATGGCAAGACTTGGGAAAATTTGTGATTCTCGGGGGACAGAAGAACTTCCAGTTTTGCAGATCCAAAACTTTTCCCAGTCCAAACATAGCATGGTTTGATCTGAGGTTAGTGCAGTGATGTAGGCGAGGCAAAGGGTCTCGGGCTTACATCACCACAGAGGTCAATCCAAATTGTTTTGTGCCTCCTGTCTGACAGGGATACATGGGGGCTAGGTGCCAGCAGTACAAAGGACTACCACTGAGAGCTTTGTCCTTTGCTGATGTTTTCCTCCCATTGTGGTTTCTTCGGAGGTGGAGATGGTATGCACACCTGGGTCTACTAGAACTCTTTGGACTTGTTGGTACCCACGTGGGCCTCTGCATTCACCCTTGGAAAGTATAAAACAGTGAACTAACACGAGCTCTTTATCACTGGTTAAATATTTAGAGCAGCTGATAATAGACCATACAGCCAAACGGTGGCTTCTGCTAGCATACCTGTTGCCCATCTGCCCATATGTCTCCTTACCTGTGGTGACTGAGGTGATCTTGGGAATTGTGTAGGAAAATCCCAAGGGGATAGTCTGGAGGGATTTCAACCTTCAGACTTGGACTGCTCTCATGAGACACCTTGGGACTACAGGGCCCAGCCACAACAACCCACATAGCTGTCATAATGCATCAGTGGGCCGACATAGTAACGGAGACACTGGTGCTGATATTTTCATCTGAGGAGGAGATTGAGATCTGGAATGAAAGGGCAACGGCCCTCTGACTGTATGTCATGAGTAGACCATTTTATGGCAATGTTTACTGGACACCTATTTCTGCAGGGATGGTGGAGCCATTAAGAAGGTTCACCTCTGCACCATTTAATGCATGGTTAAATGAGAGTGACAAAGTGAACCAGGGGACAACTACAAAGTTGGTGGCACAAGTTTCATAGGGACTATGGCTGAATTCAAGTAAAAGCCACATTATCGTACCTGCTTTGTGGCAGTAATGGTAGCCAAGAGATATTACTTGTATGGCACCATTTCTGTGTTGGGTGGGTGTCCAGCAGAGCTTTTGCAATGGATGAAAAATCTGTTATAGATTACAAATATATAATATATATTTAATATATTAGAACAGACAGAACGTAATGTAAACTGGGACAGCGTTAAGAGGCATGTTGAGGTTTACATAGTTATGTTTGTACTGACCTTGATGCCATTGTTGGGGCAGTTGCTGCACAGACCTCTGGAACACATTCTAGTCCACTTGCATGAAATCAGCTTCACCTGATGCAGTCTGTGGAGGCAAACCAAGTGCTTTGAGGGGCCTGAATGACCGCCTGTATTTTTTGCTCCTTGCTCCAAGCCAGAAGGGATTCGCTATGCGGATTCGTTGTGTGGGTTCAAGAATCCCTCCTTGAAGTATACCTCCTTGATGTATTGCTGCCTCTTAACTACCTTGAACAAGGCAGTGGTGCAACCAGCCTTTAAGGTGCCGTTTCTTGGTTTAAGGAAAGAAATTGTAAGAGAGATAGGGAATCATGAATGGTGCCCAAAGCAAATTTAGGACAATGTAGACACTGGGGACTGGGGGAAGAGAGGAGGCTCTGAGAATAGCATGGAGACCCCTGTTTGATCTCGCAGCCAGACTTCCAACATGCTCAAAACCTAGACAGAAGATGCTCTGGTTTGGCTGAGCACAGCTTCCCTGGTTGGCATCATGGCATAGTGCCAGTCAGCAGTTTCAGAACAAGCCTAATTCATCTATTACTATTAGCGATGCATGATAACATTCCAAATAGCCTATTTTATGCTTACCAGACAGTGAGCAGAAGCCACTGGGTTTTATTCAATGCCCTGGCAGACATGATTCTCTGTGTGTAGCAACTGCTTCGGAGAAAGCAAATGGGAGGTGAGAGGGAGAGAAAACAATGGGAAATGAAAAGCTAGATGCAGAACGATGAAGTCCTGTGTCTAGAAGATGGCACTGCAGCAATGTAAATTATGCTTTAATCTTGGGATAATTGGCATGGAGTAAACACTTCCATCTGATCATGCACATAAACAATTATGGAGAGAAACTGTGGTAGTGAACTAGCCTCTATGCAGCTACTGGGAAAAATACACCTGAAACGATGGACATACGTAGCTGCCACTGAACCATGGTGGGTCTTAGCCTTGTGGATTCTCATGTGAAGGGGATCTCGGATGAACTGTGCTTCTCTGTCATCCCCCTGAGTTGTCAATCACTTCCTTGTGCCAACTGATTTTAAAAGGCCCTGGGAACAGAACAGTTTCGATATAGATTGGTATGAGATGGCAGGCTGGGAAACTGGGAATGCTGACGGGAGAGGGTTCTAGACTCTGGGGAATTAAGATGGGACTCCCTCAAGAGCCTCTCCTGGGACTGACGCTGTATTATTTCCATTGTTAGATAAAAAAAGGTGGTTCTTAATTTCTTGTAATGTTACAGAATCTTTTTAAGGCCTTGTTTTCGTATTGTTGTTGTTGTTGTTGTTTAGTTGTTTAGTCGTGTCCAACTCTTTGTGACCCCATGGACCAGAGCATGCCATTCCCTCCTATCTTCCACTGCCTCCCAGAGTTGGTTTAAATTCATGTTGGTTGCTTCGATGACACTGTCCAACCTTCTCATCCTCTGTCGTCCCCTTCTCCTCCTCCCTTCACACTTCCCCAACATCAACGTCTCGTATTCGTATTACTGTGTCTTATATGGTGATACCAGTATAGATACTTCTGAAATCCTAAAGAATGAAGATCGGTATATATGTGTTTTAAATGAACAATTCCAATCCAAACTAACCAATATGCTTCGTTCACTTGTTTTAGGTGACACAGGCGAAAAGGGGGACAGAGGACTCCCTGGTCAAGGGCCCAAAGGCCTACCAGGCTCAATAGGACTCCCAGGTAAATATTGGCTACTGCCTCCAGGGCACTTATGAACCAACCAACTTGCAAGGAGAGGTGCTTCCTTGGAAGCAAAGGCTTCAGAACAAAACATTCCCGGTTTTACGTGTTATATATTTTGACCATGTCATCTCCACAGTACTCCAGTTTCTTTCCCTTTTCCCTTTTGTGCTGCTGCTGCTGCATCCTTCAAATTAGAAGGTTTCTCCTTCATTTAAGATGGCCTGCTGGACTTCCAAATTATTGCTAGCACCTCTATGGCAGTGTCCAAGCATCCTTTTTGCTCCCAAGCTTCTTACATCTTCAGAACCGTAGAGGCAACACTGACAATTGTCAATAAAAGCTGGGCTGCAAGTCAAGAAACCACAGCAGAAAATTACTGGAATCATGTTCAACAGACCCAGTACTAATGCCATTGCATGGGATGGCACAAGAGTATGTGACCAGGGAAGCAAGTGCTCGATGACTGAAAATTAAAAACAGCAAGTGGTTTTTCTAACTTAGCACCTGAATATGTGTCTTGTGTGGTGATTTGCAAATCCATCAAATCTCATTTGGCACAGGACGAGAAAAGCACACCAATAGGAGACAGTACAGTCTTTAGTTATAAATGAAGCACAAGTGCCCCCTAATGGTCATAGTGGGGCAAAATTTGCCATCTCCAAAGTTAGCCTGACCTTAATTTCTAAGGACTGTGTTACTGTGGATTACCTACATTTCTGTAAAATAGTTACAGAAAAAATATGTGCACATGGACACAATGTAAAATATTTGAGTTCTTATAACTTCTGAGCAATTTCCTCTCTCCATAAATAGCAGGACGTTGATTACCATGTGATTATCAACAAAATGTCTTTTCCCATTCCTGTTCGAACTATGCTGGTTAAAGAGCTCTGTGAGATATCTGGCTGTGGATCCAGAGTTTGGGAGTTCAATTCCCCGCTGTGCCTCCCAGCTGAAGAGCCAGCCTGCACAGTCTCAGCTCCACCCCACCCTTGAAGAAGGGTATAGTAAACCACTCCTGAGTACTTATTCAGAAAACCCTGGAAAGGGTTGCCCTAGGTCAGAATTTATTTGACAGCATATATTTGATTATTAGAATTTTGCAGTCTCCAACTTTGGCTCAAAGGTTTCTCCATGAAAAAAAGTCATATTTCTGTTATCCTGCACATAATTTCTATGCAGAAGTTCCATGTTTGGCTATGAGCATCTCCAGTTAAACGTTATTGGATAAACTAATAGATCTGAGAAGAAACTCTGCTTCTGACATGGCGAGTGAGTGCCTGTCTGACATAGATGGATGGAGACATGTGAATACAGTACTTTAATAACCACACTTTTATTCAAGTGAAGAACTAGGGATAAGAAAAAACTCTGCCCAACATCTTGCAGGAAGATTGCACAACCAAAAACCTGTGTATGTATATTTCTTTTCCTCTGACTTGTATTATTTTCTTAGGAAGTGAGTTAAAATAAACCACTCCTTCAACCTCTCACTAGCCTTGAAAGCCTTTTTAGGCTCTCCATAAGTCCTTTCCAAATTGACAGCCCGTGGAATGTAAAGCCCATTAATTGTCCCTCGGAAAAGTGGTGACTGTAATTGTCCATGCTGATCTCTCATGCCTCATGTACCCTGTCCATCTGTGCAGGAGAACCAGGCAAGGCCAGCTATGGCACCGATGGACGAGATGGCATCCAAGGCCCACCTGGCACAGCTGGTCTACCTGGCGTCCCAGGCCCTCCTGGTCCTCCAGGCCCTCCTGGATATTGTGAGCCTTCTGCCTGCACGATGCAAGCTGGACTGCGAGAGGGCAAGAATGTGAAAGGGCCATAAACAGGACAGAGAGTTAAGGAACCATTGGAAACAAGATGCTGCATGTGGGGATTTTTTGTAACAAACAGAGAAGAAACAGCAGAGGAGAAGCATCTTGGAAAAACAGCAAGGACAATATCAAAGGCTTGACAGACCTCCGACGGACTGGTTGTTCCCTTCTTCAACTTGCACAAAACAATACACGGCAACCAGATTTTTTTATTGTTATTTTTTTTTAAAAAACGGTGCTGATAAAGTGATACCAGATGGCCTTTTCTTATTGTGGTGAAAGGCAGCTGTCCCTTTTGGG